TTTTTTTGTGATGTTTTTGTTGTCTTGTACGTGCCTGCAGTCCCCAAAATCTGGGATGCCTTACTGCCACTCCGCATGACGTCATACGCCGCCACCGAAGAATCCGCCGCGCCCCGCATTCCCCTCGGAGTTCCTGAGTTAGAACTCTCTGTATATACTACTTTATTCTGATATTGTGTGTTATTTCATATTCTGAATTATTATGTTATGTATGATTATAATATTTTAAACTCTTCCTCTCGTATGATTTCATATTACTCTTAATTATTCATATTACTCTTAATTATTCGAATTACTCTTAATGATTGCTATTGCTCTTAATGATTTTACATGAGGCTTCTTAATCAGAACTATTATTTTTCTTTAACTTAAAGGTTCTTGAGCGCCCGGTATTAACAGTGGTCCTTCCGGTTGCATCTTTGAATTGCTCATATGATTTTGCTAACATATGTTTTAAATTAGAGTAATAGTGTGTTTCGCCTTATTAAAACTAACGTTACTTGAGCCAACGGACTACGAGAGAGGAGTTGTCGAAACAATGATAAATTATAAATTAATAAAAACTAATAAGTTTTTATAGACTCCTTTAATTAAAACAATTAATGAAACCATAGAAAATATATTACAGGCAATAGGAGTCGACGCTGATTATCAATTAGCGCAATTTTTCTTAATACTATAAATATAAAAAAATTTTTTTAGAAGAAATACGTTGGAGATATCGTTTTGTCATGCAATACTCCAATCGTTGTGCTAGGGGAAAGATTGCTGATGAAGACTCAAACCATGAGTGGAAACGTTCAAAATTAAGGTTTATATTTTTAGTATTAAAAAAAATTGCGCTAATTGATAACCAGCGTCGACTCCTATTGCCTGTAATACATTTTTTATAGTTTCATTAATTATAATGATGACGTTTTTTAAATGTCAATATTCACATTCAGACCTCACGTCGCAATACCTCCACTCGGTGCTCGTAAGGCACGTATAGCAGAAAAAATAAAAACACTTTTATTACATAATTTAAATTCAAGCTTGAGCCTATTCAGAATTTGATCGATTCAGCCGTTATTTAGATCCGATTTAATCTCGAATATATACAGGGGTATTTCTGATCCCGCAATCGGGACACACTACAATTTAAGATTAAGCGTTTTATCCCGAAACTATTGAGCCTAATAATTTGTTGCGCAGCGTAGTTAATTAAAAAACTATTTTTTTAAATTATTTATAACAAATTTACATTATTATTTATTACATTATTTATTACATTATAACATTATTTATAACAACCAGGAAAAAAATGTTTTATATATAATTAAATAACGTGACTCAACCAATTATTATATATCGTTTGTGGTAAATATGCCAAATAGGGGAGCATTCTCCGATATGGGGCCGTTTTTTCTTTATTTTGTCGTTCAGTTTGTCCAATAACGCTGTATGTATAATACTCTCCCGTAACTGTTCTTCCCTTCTGCAGGTAATCGATGAAGATTATGCCATGCGCATCCCAAAAAACGGAGGCCATAACCTTCCCGGCCGAGCGTTGGTCTTTTGGCCGCTTTGGTCGGCTTTCGTGGCTTTCCAGCCACTCTGCAGACTGCCTATTGGACTCAGGCGTATGGTAATGGACCCACGTTTCATCCATCGTCACAAAACGTCGAAAAAAGTCCGCTCGATTACGCTGCAACAATGCCAAACCGGCCATTGAATCATCAACGCGCTGCTGTTTTTTGTCGACGGTCAGCAAACGCGGCACCCATCGCGCCGATAGCTTTTTCATCTCCAAAAGATCGTGCAAAATGTATCCCGCCCGTTCTTTTGAGGTGCCCACGGCCTCAGCTAACTCGCGCAACTTCACTTTACGATCACTCAAAACGATTCGATGCACTTGCTTTACGATTTCCGCATTCGTAGCCTCTTTTGGCCTTCCAGAGCGAGGTGGGTCTTCGGTGCTTGTACGACCCATTTTAAATTCACTAAACCACCGATAAACTGTTGTTCTCGAAGGAACAGATGTGGGATAACATTTCTGCAACCATTGCAATGATTGTTCAGAAGTTTTTCCCATCAAAAAACAATGTTTGATCAAGATGCTATATTCCTATTTTTCCATTTTTTTTACGAAGGCGAAAGGAGCGTCACTCAAACGACTGTAGCTTGTAAACGAATGGACGAAATGTCATGAAACTTCATACATAAACTAGTGACAGATGAGCCTCTCGAAATGAGTCATGTTCATTTTCTAGTGGCGCCACCTATTGAAAAATCCCGGGACTTTTCAGCCCATGTAGTATATAAAATTAAACATTCCAAATATGTGTATATGTATATTTACGACCGAAACATTACCATGTCTCCTATTTATATCATAAATTTTTAACTTTAATGTTGTCAAAAATATTGTTAACGTGTTTGCAAAAGTTAATGCGTTTGTATTCTTGCCTCTACATAATTAAATAAACCATCAATACGGAAACAGATCATGATTCATTTGAATTACGAAGTATAAGTATTAATGAGCTTAGGTCAATAAGTAGGGAGAAGATAATGATTTCAAGCAATACCAGTCATCGCGTAGTCTTGGAAAATGTTAGACGTCTTTCTGTATCTCAGCAAAGTTTACAATATGCGTAATAAGCATTTCAAGTTTTTGAATTTGTGATACACGTGAAATCTGTTATATACTTGACACATTTTGTTCATGTTTCATATATTGTAAAAAAGTGCGAGTGTTAAAAAGTTTAGAATGTACATATCTCAGCGCAATGTAGAGAATAAAATATGAAATTGTTCCAGTTTTTTATGTTCTCGTGATTAATGAATCGATTGAAGAGATCAAACAAATTTTATTCGTAAATTATCGTAACTATCAAATTTCTCGGAGAAGAAAAAATGTTTTACTTGTGAATTTGATTAACGGTATGTATTGCATGAGATCTTAAATAAATTAAAAACTACATATATATTTAAGGATAAAAACATATAAAGACAAAATAAAAAAATATTATATTTCCTTCTTCAGTTTGTCAATTTTAAAATTCAGAGAACAAAAATCGTCAAAAGTGGTTTTCCAACAAATTTAAAAAATCAAATTGGTAAATAAAATGTTATGGTATTTTATAAATAACTCATCGTGAATAAAAATAGTATTGTAGGATTTTATTTAAATAATATCTTTACAGTAAATTCAGGACGGCCAAATGTAAGGCTTGATTTAAATATCTAATAAAATGTTACGTTGAAATCGTTTTAGTTTTTAACGATATTAAATTTTTAAATAAACGAAAGGCGAGATTACATGTGGTTTACGAATGTTTGTAGAGCGTTGTTTTTTTGTTTAAAGAGGAAGAAGTAAAAAAAAGCGTTCAGATATAAAAAAAACATCCCAGAGAACACGAATGTCTAAAAGACCTCCAAATGACATCTTACAAGAGTCTTTAAAACTTGTTTAAAAAACGTCTTTAAGACGACTTTTAATCAAATCCTAAAGATATCTCTTTTTTAGACGTCATTTAGATGTCCATTTTAAGACGTCTTTAAGACTGTCTAAAATTCGTCTTTAAGACGATTTTTAGTCATATCCTAAAGACATCTCTTTTTCAGACGTCTTTTAGACGTCTGAAAGACATTATGATTTAAGACGTCTAAATATAGGACGTCTAAAAGACTCCCTAAAGATGTCACAAAAAAGATGTCATAAGACTATTATTATTATCCATTTTTAATGACTTACTTTCCTTTTTTAACATAAGATACTTTCCTTTTTTCTTTCAATTATATTCTATTCATAAACACATCACTAATTTTATTCTGTTCTTTACAAATATAATTTAATTGTTTAACTTGTCTTTGTAATATTATTTGTTAATTATAATAGTTAAACTATATAACGATTCTTATGGTTGTATCTTCCGAATTGCGAGTACATGGCATTACAAGTACCTTCTATCGCTTTCTATCGAATACTAGGTTATAACACCGATGTAAGGAGTTGCCACCGAGTCACAGCTACATACCGGAATTATCATAAGTAACTTCTATCTTCATTTGCGTTTCCTAAATAAATTTCGTACATATTTTAATTTTTATTTTAAAAACATTGAAGATGACCTCATGTGACGTTGAAACGTTTGTCTGTTATAATTTGTTATTAAGTGTGTTATCAATTTTTCTACTTTTGTTTTATAATTTTTATCTTCGAATATTATAATAAATAATTATATTTGCTCGTAGCTCCTTTTTATATATTAAATTCACTAAAAACAAAATTCGTAGCTCCACATGTGCGTTACATCAATAGATGTATTACCGTGTATTACTTTATACAGCGTGTCCCGCGAGACTTTTGCCGAACGCTTTTTGTAGATAGAGCGGACTAAACTGAGTCGAAAAGTCTTCTACCATTTTGCAATTTCCGCAATGATTAACAAGATATTAGTTACTAAAAATTGCAGAATATTGGTATTCAATAATTTTTTACTCAAATACTATCAACTTTACAGAAAAACAGCATAAGAGACGAAAATTACTTATTTTCTTTTCATAAAGTTATAAGAATTTTTCTAGAATTTTTTAATACTGTATTTTCTCCTGTTGGTAAAAACAGTTGCCACACACACACCACACACACACACACACACACACACACACACACACACACACACACACACACAAATGCATTACTGAAAAGTTGAAAAATTGATAAAAAATTCTGAAAAATTCTTACAGCTCTATGAAAAGAAAATAAACAATTTTGGTCTTTTGCTGTTTTTTTGTAAAGTTGATAGTATTTGAGTAAAAAATTATTAAAGATCAATATTCCGCAATTTTTAGTAATTAATATCTCATTAACCATTATGAAAATTGTAAAATAGTACAGGACTTTTCGATTCAGTTTAGTCCGCTCTATCTACAAAATAGCGCTTGGCAAAAATTTCACGGGACATCCTGTATAAATGCATATAATTATGTAGTTTTATACAAAGCACATAAAAAATCTGGAAACAGTCGAATATCTCAAAAGCAAAGCATTTTTGAGAAGAGAAAGTCTTCCAATAAGCTGAGTTTCTAAAAAAGTGTAAATAATCTTGTTACAATTATATTATCAGTGTTATTTATGTATTTATTACATTTGCAACACTAATATAAAACACTTCATTAGTTTTAGACTTATTTTTCTCACTAATATTTTACTATTATATTTCTTATTTCCTATAAAATAATACTTGTAAATTATATTAGATTTGAAAATTCAATTAAGCAAGGACTTAGACGTAATTTAACGATAATTAATTCGTGCACGTAAAATCAAATCATCATTTTAATTTATTTTAATTAAATTATAATTCTCGAGGAACTGTTGCGTAACATACAAAGAAAACAATTTTAAATATAATTTCTTATAAGCAATTAGATACATTCAGTCAGTATATTTCTGTTGACTTTTACCAGACACGCATTTCTATAATTATTGATAATCTAAATAAATTTTTAAGGTAGTTTGCTGAATTATTTGAACATTATTGGTATGAATTACATACATGTTTATGGAGATATTTCTTCTTTTTCTTTTAAATGCATGATATAATCATTAATTCATTAGAGAAGATCAAGTTTTTATTATATAATGATTAAATCATGAGAGTCGCAATTTTAATTCAAATAATTAGTATAAGACGTTCGATTTTTTTCCACTTTAAGGAATTTCCACTTTAAGGAATGTTAGCAATTAGATTCTTTGAGAATTATTGTGAATATTTTCTGAAATATTCCACTAATATTATCTATATGTGTTATTATCTATAATAATTTAATTGTGCCAATTACTTTGACAAATTATTATGTAACGTATGCGTTACATAATATACTGCATAATTGCTGCTACGGATGAATTATCTATTAAATCCATAGTAATTTACATACATTAGTGTCTCGCAAAAATACATTAACTCATTCAGCAAATAGATGATGGTTTTTTATTTTTATGCGTTTATTATTATTATACTTTACATGAAAATTATTTATTTCGGTATGTATAATAAATATAAAAGATAATTTGGTGAAAAAATATTCACATATTTATTCTTAATTATTTTGTTTTTTATATTTTCTATTTTTATTATAAAAATCGATTTCTTTCATATTTCTTAAAAGTCAAATCTATTATATTTATCAACATCGAATCAATGCGGGAATAAATTTTCGATGAGGCTATCACGTCGTTCGTGCAGTATATTTCTCAGAATCAAAATTTTATGATGTTTCGTTCCGCAATAAAAATCGGCATTCATGGTTTGTTCTTATTTTAAGACTGTCTTAAGTAATAGCCTAAGAGATGCTAATACGATCTGAATAATATCTGTGATTTTGATTTATAAATCTTTTATATATATAACTGTACTTATTAAGACAGTCTAAAATAATGTAAGTAAGAAAGAATGAGTGCCCTATGGTTAGGTATACATATCTACTGCACATACACGCTGTTGGCATGAAAAGAAATAAAAATAATAAACTCTGTTTTTCTCTAAAGCCTAAATATCTGGTCAATTAAAAAAATAATTAACATTGTAGCAACCATTCCCGGTATGATATCTAAAAGCTTGTTATATAGAAAAAGGCATAGAATTTATTTTTCTTGATATACATTGTTAAAATGTTTAATACAATTATTTCGATATTATTTAATATTTTTTTGTCTTTATAATTTCATATTACGATCATATGGCGAAAGTATGCGTAGTTGCAGTGACTAATGATTTGATAATGCCTTTTTAAAATTAGTATTTGAGAACAAATTAGAGATGTGCGAACTATTCGAATACAAATCGAATCGAATCAAATCAGTTAAGACCCAATTCGATTCCAATTTGAATCGATATGATTCGAACACGAACTATTCGAAAATATCGAATTGAGGTCAGTACTCATTCAATTTCATTGATTTGATTCCTATTTTAAGACTATCTTAAGTAATGTCTTAAGAACTTACTATAAATACCAACCTAAGGTATTTAAATATAAAAATCACATACATTGACAATCTTACACACACACGCACACACGCACACGCACACACAGACATAAATCCTTCCAGCCAGTGGCTTTTGTATCAGTCAAGTTAGTTGCACGTATAAATCGCGCACTAGATTCGTATTGGCTACTTGTAATTATAGTTACATATTTAATATTTAAATATTGTACATATATTTTAAAATAACTACATCATATATAATTAGTATTTTTTTATATAAAAATAATTTTATTATTTACATATTAGATTTCAACTGACAATCATACTGTTAAAAAGTTAAAAGTTATGATTCGATTCGGATTCGATTTGATTCAATTCGATTCGTATTCGAAAACAAAATTTGGATTCGATTCGATTCGATTCAGAGTCAAAAAACCATGATTCGCACATCTCTAGAACAAATCTTATTTTGCGGCGTACAGTAGTCTGGTACGTGACTTTAGGCGGAATATATTAATATGAGTTATGTTTTTATGATATTATTACGTAAACCGACATCAATTTTAATCTCGAGATCTCTATAGGTAATTCCGAAGGTCATCACCGATCTCATTTCAGCCAGCGCTCGACTCACTCCCATGCCAGTGGTGCTCCGTGCGCGAAACGGGAATGCGAATGAATGCCCGAATCTTATTTATAGCAATTATAGCATGATAAATTTACTCATGGGATAGATAATCATGGAAATGCTCTGAACAAAACTCGAAAACCGCGAATTTTAAATACGTGTATCTTGAGCGCACCGGCCCTTTGCGTGCGGATCCAAATTTTAAATACGCTTATACAGGAATCACTGAGGCAAATGGATGCAAACGAAATAAAGTAGATTTCAAATTTCAAAGTATATATACAGGATGTTTCATTTTAATTGATACACTACAATATC